TTTACATGAGAATTTATCTGAGAGGGGAAATAAGGAACCAACTCTCCGCAAGGTATGGGTCATTAAAAATTTATTTAGTACTGAGCTAGTAGCTAGAAGAAATTTTATAAAAATAATAATAATGAACGCATACGCTTGCTGAATATGATCGGCAGTGCCATTTTTCACATATTCCCTTTCACTTATAAGTACGCAAGCGCTTTATAAAATTACTGCGGACTGTTTTTTTATTAGCAGCTGCTTAAAACTTATACTAAACTGCGCAAGAATCTACAGTTTCGGAAGATATTAAGATGATTATTAATTAATGATGGTGCGACGTGTAAAAAGCTAAAAAATATTGGAGTAAAAAGTTTCCTAAAAGTGAGATCGCAGTAGCGCAATTTTTAAAACGCTTTACGAACTACTAAATCAAAAAGGACAAACTAGTTCAGGCTATATAATATTTTTTTACAAAAAAAATTAGTTACCAGTTTAAAGCGGATTTTTCATAGTGGTGGAATGATTAGAAATTGGGTAAAAATAATTAAAACAGCTGAATTTTTCCGCGGGTGAAATCACGGGGGTTGAAAGGGGTGGAAACTGGTATCTTGCAATTTGTGGCAAAACTATTAATGTTAGGCGAAAAATGAACAACTTTTGTATCTGCACTATTTACACATAACCTCGAATTTTCCTAGAAAAACCGGAAAAATCTTTTTTTTTTCGATTTTTGCGGAAAAAAAGTCGTAGGGGTTTAAAATTTGGAGTAAACATTGTTTGAGCTTGTTTTATGATAAAAAAAGAGACAATCTTTTGGCCTGTAAAGTTGAACCGTTTCCGAGATTTCGGAAAAAAACACCTCTTTTACAAGGAGATGAAAAATCTATTTTTTTCATCGTACAGAGGTGAGCGGGGTAGCAAAATTTTCGGGAGGACTTATATTTTAATAATCAAAAATAAAAAAATATTATTCCTATAGCAAAAATTCGAGAAAATCGCCAAAAACTGGAATCGCTATTTGTGTAGCAAGGGCGCAAAATGATACATTGTCGATTGAAAGATTGAAATCGACAATCAATTTGCGCTCGATTTACACGCAAGTTTTTTTCTACAATCTAGCAGTTCACATATTTCCAAAAATGTACGTCTTTCACTCAAATTAAAGATGTCATTTACTGGTTGTCATTGGATACTCTGAGCAATGCATATTTGATTTATAGTTTATAATTGGGAGAGTGAGCGTTTTTTTTATTTTGTCGCTTATAAGCGACAAAGTAACATTCCTCGAAAAAGATGACGTTTGCGTTGTCAAATACGAGCGCAAATGCCTACTTTGGATATCGATTGTAGAAAAAAAACAGTTTTAAGATAGGTATACACGGTTTTTGATATGATGAATCAACGTGTTGGATGATAATAAAGACTTTTTCGAAATCTGTCTTCTTGCTTCTCTTTAATGTTTGCTTAAATATTCTCTTTTGTTATCTTATGCTCAACTGTTTTAGTTAAAACATCTTTATTTATTTTTCTGCATTTTTATCGCAATAAAAGCAATTCGAAATAAAATCGAATTATCTTGCTTCCTGATTCCTGAACAATTTGTTTTTGTTCACTGACTCTTCTTACTGCCTCTTTTATAGTTGATGCAATTCCGTTGGGCCTGTTGATAAACTTGCAAAATCTGCAATAAGAACGTTAGTTTTACCGGCCAAAGCAGTAAATAATTTGAGATATAAAACCTGGAATAAACTTCGTGAGGATTCCTGTAAATTAACGATCAACAGGCCCAGCGTAATCACATCAGCTGTAAAACAGACAACAAGAAGAGTTAGTGAACAAAAACAAATCGTTCAGGAAGCAAAAGAATTCGATTGTACTTCGAATTGCTTTTATTGCGGTAAAAATGCAGGAAAAACAAATAATAAAGATGTTTTAATTAAGGCAGTTGGGCACTACGAAACAAAAGAAAATATTTTAGCAACATTAAAGAGGAGAGAGAAGACACTTTTTATTAGCCCGGATCCAATACGTTAATTTAGTTGCAAAAAAAGCTATTTACCTACTATGTGAAAAACAGTGTAGGTACCTACCTATATCTTAACTCATTCCCCAAGTTTTTGCCGCTTTTCTTAAAATTTTTCTATTGGAATAATATTTTTTATTTTTGATTATTAAAATGTAAGTCCTTACGAAAATTTTGCTCCCCGCGTACCTCTGTACTTTAAAAAAAGTAGATTTTTCATCCCCTTGAAAAAGAGGTGGTTTTTTCAGAAATTGTGAGAAATCTCGGAAACGGTTCAAATTTACAGGCCCAAAAAATTATCTCCTTTTTTATCATAAAACAAGCTATGTTTCCTCCCCTACGACCACGACAAAAATAAGAATAAAAAACGAAAAAAACCATTTTTCCGGTTTTTGTAGGAAAATTGGAGGTTATGTGGAAATAGTGCAGATACAAAAGTTGTATATTTTTTTGAACATTGAACATTTTGGCCTAAAAATCAGCTGTTTTAATTAATTTTTTTCCAATTTTTAATCATTTCACCTGAAAAACCCGGTTGATTATTATTTGTGAGATAAACCAAGTACCTTCACTGGCTACCCTCACGCACGCGATATTACGTACCTACATAAATAACCGTTTTTTAGCATTCGTTTGATAAACGTCTATAACACCACTTTAATATGCGCATAAGCACATAAATCGTATATCAATGAGAAATAATAAACGCATAATATTCCCTATAGCAATATCCGCCGGACATTTATGAGTATTATAATTTACGTATAGGGTTTTACTTTACAGTAAACGCTTTTTATACGGAACGGTGTGGCTATAGAATATGCTCTTTAAGGGTTGATTTAACCCCGATAATCCCATTAGAAGTCGATAAAACTCAACATTTTTGTATTGCGTTACAGTAAGCTAAGTATGGGTGTGATCTTCTGAATTTTTAGCGCATTTTTGCAAAAAATTTTTTTTGTAAAAAGTAGCTTTTAATCTCACTTTGGCTGGCTGGCTGGCTGGCTGGATGGTCGGCTGGCTGGCTGGCTGGCTGGCTGGCAGTAAATGCGCGCCCGTAGAAAAACGCTTGTAAAAAGACAAGGAGTGTACATGTAACTATCGGGGCCGTGTAATTAAGAACGTTAGGGATGGGGCTACAAGATTTGGAGTCGACGACATCTGGACGCCATCCCCGAGCGTATTATACTAACCTGGAGATTTTTCAGTTTTTATCTATCTTCTTCTACAGTTTTTCTCCGATTGTTTTCAAATTGGTGTCGTCGGGAAGATCTTGTCAACGCGCACAACTCCTGCGTGGCGGAATTTTGTTTTTTTTCCTAGGGTCGAAATAAACCACCTTTTGCGCGGCGCGCTTCGAGGGGTAGTCGACTTTGGGCGCCCAAAAGTTTCTTACAGCGCGAATCGCGGTCTCTCTTTCTCGTGTCACTAATAGAAGGTCGAGCTATGTGAAGTACCCAAAAGTTGAATACGATTTTATGCCGGGATTTTAGCGAAATCTACCAAAATGTGAATTACGAATGAACGGGACGTCGGAACTGTGTATCGACAAAGGGAATGTGGTAACCCCCGACGAGATCTTACTGATGGTGGAGTCGAAACTTCAAATCCGAATTGTTGCGGGTGATCAGAAGTGGGTGTCGACAAAGGGAATATGGTAACCCCCAAAGGATTTTAATGATGGTGGAGTCAAAACTTCAAACGCGAATTGCGAGTGCACGGTAAGTGAGAAAATGGTACCGACAAAGTGAACGTGGTAGCTTTCGGCAAGATCTTATTGATGGTGGAGTCAATATTGGCTAATAAAACACCGGTACAAATTAAATGATCAGTATTTCCATTTTATGAACAGTACAGTTTTCCATTATTTTTTTCAAATGGTCATTATTGTAATATCTGGTCGGTGAAAATAATAAACGGTCAGTAAGATTAAAAATTGCCTATTAACTTAATAAATGGTAGACGAAAGTAATAAACGGGCAGTAAGATACAAAATAGTCAGTTAAATTAATAAATGGTCATTGAAAATAATAAATGGGCAGTAAGGTTTTAAAAAACAGTCAGTTGAATTAATAAATGGTCGGTGAAATTAATAAACGGTTAGTAAGAGAAAAAATAGTTAATTAAATAAATAAATGATCAGTAAAATATGAAATGTTGTATAAAAATAATAATCGGCCAGTACAAATTAATAAACCCTCTGTTAACTAATAAATGCTCATATTTATTTCATGTAAGTAAACACAAAACAAAAACATATTAAGAAAAATACAACGTAATAGAGAAAAACGCTATGCCGTTAAGTAATGATGAAGTACGAGTAGATCGTGGTGATAATCTGAAAATAATTATCCTGAACCATATACACTAATTACGTGCAAAATACCTACCCTATTGTACAAGTAGTGCCTGCTTTGCTTTGGATGGTCGGCCACGTCGCCTTTTAGCTCCAATGGGGACAGATTTGGCTTCAGCGGGTGGTGTTGTGTATTTCAGCCTTATTGCAACACCCACTACATGATTACAAATTAATTTTTTGAAAAATCCTGGGCAATTGCAAGTGCCTTCAATCCATTTGTTTGAATCATTCGGAAGAGTAGCAGTCCAAATGTTGAACGCGGCCGTTTTAAATTCTTCAAAAGTGGAAAAACTCACATTTCGAGTTTCCTCTAGATCTAAATCTAGATCTGTGACTTCATTACTTTGGCCAGCAGGAATGAAATAAACATAGCCTTCGGATATACGATGTGAGACAATCTTCTTTTTTTCACAAACCCATTGATAAGCTTTGGTCCACAAACCTAAGTTTAGCGTAGGAACTGCATGTACTGTTTTTGCATTTGCAGTGTACTGAAGAGACCAGGTATTTATGTATTCCTTGAGAACCACTACGAACCGAGATAAAGGCAATCTCTCGCGCAAAGTGTTCTCATCTTTAATTACTCCAAGGCGTTATTTGTAGACGGAACCAACTTTGAAACGCCTTCAAACCAGTTTGGATTACTGTCTAACCATTCGTGTTGGAAATATTCTATAAATTGTTGTTGTTCGCCCTCCCATTTTGCAATAAACTGATGAGACGCCTTCTCAAAAACATGCTTACTATTGCTCAGTTGCAATAAGTCAATATCTTTTAATATTTCATTACGTTTCTCCTTCGGATGCACAACCTGTTCGGCTTTCTTTTGGACACATTTTTTCATATGTGCCTAACACATTATGATAGTAACATCCGATCCAAATACATTTATGAAGGCATTCTGGATGCTTTTAGCGGAATCACAAACGAGGTATTTTGGGCAAATTGACTTTTGAAATATATCCTGGTCGGCAGATTTTATTGCTTTAAACAAAAATACAAACTTTTCGGTTTGTTCTTTGCTGCAAACCGCTAGCCCAAAAATATGAAATATTCGGTCTCGATCTGTAGTTCCCAATAATAATACAGGGAAACCTTGCCACACCAATTTATATGTCGCATCAGCATGTATGTGGTGAGCGTCACAGGACAATTTCAACAAGTTTTTAGTGGAAACAAAAAATCGAAAGAACGGCTGTTCTTCATATCCCACTTGGTAGGAAACAACAAACGCCGCATCAACATCATCAGGAACTTTTGCATTTTCTAAACAAAAATTTTCCAATTCGCCAAGACTCATAACATTGGATCCATATTTTACTTTTCTTAATGAAGACAAGTAATTATTGAGCTGAGTCTTACTTGGTAATGCAATTTGCTTTTTAATTAATATATCAAGAACCTTTTTTGGTTTTATTTTTGAATCAAAATTAAAGAGAGACTTGATTTCCTCTTTTACCTCATTGGATATTTTACTTTTTACTCTTGTAACAATTACATTACACGTATGGGCTAGTTGAGATCGGTATAAATGGACCTCACTTGTAGTAGAGGGATAATGTAGGTACACACCTGCAGCGCATTGCTCCGCTCTTTTTTTTACTTTGTTACATCGAAAAATTTCACTTACATTTCCTTCTGTGTCCACATTTTTATAAGTAAAACTCCACACCTGCTCCATCTGAACTGCAGCTACTGCAGACGCCTTATTCTCGAACACTTTTTCCATTTCCCATTGCTTGTCTACCTTCTTCCTCCTTTTCGTGATCGCCTCTTCACTTTCACTTTCGGAACTTGTTTCATAGTCTGGTACATCTTCCATATCGTACCGTTCCAGTCGCAAGGAAACCTACAGCACGAATCACTTAATATTTTTACTTCTCTGAAACTATAATAATATCGCGCCGAGCGCATATAAAGCGTTACATCAACAATCACGTTTATTTCACAAGCTGACTAAGCGCGAAAGAAGCTTATTAGCCGACCTAAAAATATTAGGTAAACCACGACTTCATTTCTATTACCGCCTATCGCATACTGGCCATTTATTGATTTTTACTGTAGATTTGCTGATTTATTATCAGCTAATCCATACTGACGTTTTATTAATTTTTACTGACCACTATAATACTGGCCAAATAGTTTTGTTACTGCTCAAAAATTCCATTTTAACTCATCAAATTTTATAAATATACTGAGCTTTTTACAATATTTTACTGACTTTAGGTAATATTATACTGTAGAAACTTAATTAAATACTGTTCAGTTTATTACAACCCATAAAACACTGATCTGCCACACAAAAATGCGCTGAAGTCCCTTCGATCTCACACGAGGACTTTGATCATTTTTTAATGTTTCAGGGGTTGGTTTTACACCGAGAGTACCGTATTGCAAGTTGCAAAAGACGTGGGCGCTAATTTATTTTTGTGTGAAAACCTCTGGCAGTGAAATTATGAATAAAAATGTACTTAATGGAATGACAACTGATAAAATTACATTGATACTAATTGAATGTATCCTTGTAGATTATTGTGATTAACCTTTTCCGCTTCATCATACGCATTTGAGATATATGTGTGCACGTATACCAGACAAGACAAGACCGTAGTGCAACGTACTTTAGTTTTTAAAACGTTGAATCTACGCACCCATACACTCAAAGTATTTTATTCTATACATGGATGTGGTTGTTACACATGCAAATCAACCGCAGTCTTTAACATCTTTATAAATAAAGGTCTAAGTGGTAAGTAGGTGTAGGAAAGGGCTTCTCATGGCTCACATGCACTAATACGTATCGGCATTTTCTAGTACACTTATATTGGGAATACCTTGATTATTATTGCTTTGATGGAAGTATGGAGTTACATTACGTCATTTATAAACAGTAGGTCCTAAAGGTTCTAAATAAAAATTGTACGGGTTGATTCAGTTTTAAATTTAGCACCTTAACCACAAATAAAATACCCAATTTATCTTGGTGAGACATCATGTGTAGATCATAAACTGTTTACAATTTACAATTACACAAAGGGATTAAATAACAGACACAATGCAAACATTTTCTAAAAGGACAAATAAACTCGATTCACGAAATGACCTTTAATTAACTTACGCCCAACTATGTCCACCGTTTTAGTTACTCCTATATTAACAAAATCAAGGTTCATGGTTACTTTATTACTTAAACACTTAAAGCATTAGGTATACATGTGAATAAAAATCGCACTCATATACAATTCTGTAAGTACCTACATAATTATTACTTAACTGGTATGACATAGCAGCTTATTTGCACGCAGCAAGAAGTTTTTTGCAAGCAAACGGTTTGTCCATAAGCATAATTGCAAGAGAGATGTCTCCGAGGGCGGATTTCTTGAAAGTGTGTTGCCTGATTTGGACTATCTTAGGTTTCGACGGTGAGTACTTCAAGTATGTCATCTGACACTTACCATTTGCTTAAAGGTACCTTTGCCGACGATCTACCGCTAGTCCAAACTTCCCTAGGCAAAATTAGAGGGTTTCACAAGTCCTCTTTTGGTGGTCGGATATTTTCAGCGTTTGAAGGCATTCCGTACGCAAAACCACCCGTCGGAGCTCTACGCTTTGAGGTATTTCGTTAATTCACAACTAAGCTTCCAGAATTTTTCTTTAATTAGGCACCTCAGCCGGTGTCACCTTGGGATGAAGTGTTAAATGCTAACGTCCGTTACACTTGTAAGCAAGCAGACAACCCGTTTATGCCTCCGGACAGTGGCCGTAATAACCCCTTTGACATTTTACGTTTCTCATTTGGTTTGTAGATAATGAAGATTGTTTATATTTAAATGTCTACGTGCCTAAAAAGCAGCCATCGGAAAGTGACAATTACGACGTGATTGTCTACATACATGGGGGTGCATTTATGTTTGGAGCTGCTTCACAAGCCGGTCCTAAGTATTTAATGGACCGTGATGTTATTTTCGTAAGTATGAATTATCGACTCGGTGTTTTAGGTGAGACTAATTCGATAATTGTCACTTTGTAATGAGGGGGGTTCGATTACAGGGTTTCTCACAACCGAAGACAGCGTCGTACCTGGTAATAATGGGCTTAAGGACCAACAGATGGCACTGAAATGGGTTCAAGCGCATATCAAGCAGTTTGGTGGTAATCCCAAGTCTGTTACGCTGATGGGATTATCAGCAGGTGGTGCTTCGGTTCATTTCCATTTCTTTTCACCACAATCCAAGGGTTAACTACCATTATGCCAGATTTATAATTACCATAGCATTTTAGGACTGTTCCATAGGGCCATATCCCAAAGCGGGACAGTGTTAATGCCGTGGGCAATTCAAGAGAGCGGGTTACAAAAAACGAGAGAACTTGCCGAGTCATTAAACTGCCTGGACTCTGATACGCGAACCCTTATTGATTGCCTAAAGGCGATACCTGCAGACGATCTCTTGGCGAAAACAAACAATTTCTACCATTTTGCAATGTTCCCTCTGGCACCATTTGCACCGACTGTAGAAGTCGACTCGGAGTATTCATTCTTAAAGAAGCATCCGTACACGCAGCTGAATGATGGAGATGCCATCGATGTTCCATGGTTAACGTGGATTGCTAAAGACGAAGGAATTTTAGGAGCTATGTGTAAAACTTTAAATGTACATGAGTTAGTGTTACGTAATGCCTTGTTACAGTTGTAACCAATATGTTGGACCATGTAGAGACAAATTGGAATGAATTGTCAGAACATATGTTTGATTATAAACATGTGCACACTAAATCTAACAAGCACGACACCGCGCACAAGATTAAATCGCACTATTTCAAAAATGAGAAGCTGTCCGAAAGCAATCTCAATACACTTGTTAAGGTGAGAATATTGACTCGGACTTCATAAACTATCTCTGTTGTAGGTCTTTAGTGACAGACTGTTCAATGTTGGCTTTGAAACCGCAGTTCATATGCAATCAGATGTATTCGACTCTCCAGTATATGCTGCCATATACGCCTTCGACAAATCTACGGCACTTAAGGAATTGCTGGGATGCAATTTAGAAGGTGCTTAACAACAAATCGGAAAATCAGTTTAATAATTATTGTAGGTGTTGCTCATGGCGCTGAATCAGTTCTTCTGCATGACACAGAAGTTGACCATCCCGCAGCAGTTAAAATAGAACTTTCCGAATCTGAAATTCTGATGAAAGACTTGTTAATTGATTTTCTTATATCATTTGCCAGTAATGGGTAAGGACGGTTTTTAAATAGCAATCATCGGCAATTTTGCATGTTTAGTAAACCAACATCATCTGGCGTTAGTTGGGAGCCGCTAACCACTGATAATCCCAAGTATTTACTTCTAAACGACTTTGATGACGCCCAAATGGTAGAAATACCAGAATTGAGCCAAAAAGAGTTTTGGGAAGGCTTGAAGTTTATGGAAAACAAACGAGCTGAGAGTTTACGGGAAGAATTATAGTTTTTTTTAAGCAATTATAATATAGTTCAAAATAACGAATTAAAACAAAAGATTTGTGTTGTAATAATTTTAAGTTTTTTAAATACTGTAATGGAACCGAATTTGCCCTCTAAAATTCGATTTAAATATTCCCTAAGCCGTCTCTGCCGCCACGAAAGGATTCAAGATTCCGCTTTGTTTCGTTTCCGGGTAACACGTGTTTTTTTTACTTCTCTGCCATACCAGGGAACTTAATAGTCTCTTTCGGCCTTCCGCAGAGGACCAACTAGCCCACCGGAAGTCTAGAAGTCTAGCGAAACAGAGTGCGCGCCAGTTGACCGTGTTTTCCAGAAGATAATTAAGGTTTTTGGCCTCCTATTTGTTTTGCAGTAGCGATGTTTCATCTCTTAGGAGTTACTGTTGATGTCTTCACTATAAATTAGTACAATTTAAGCTTTTTTGCCATAAATGTCGTTGTGGTGCTCTTCTGACCCACTCAATTTCGATGGCTATTACTTTTATAGCATTGTCTGTTAAAGAGTCTCTCACTTTTTTATCCGATAAGCGATAATAAACGCTAATAAGCTAATTTTATCTTAAAAAGAGTCGCTCTGATCCGTTAGATTCTTAGATCACTTTATTTAACAAAGCTGATTCCGGCTATCTAAACATTTTTTAAGGTCAGCGGTCAGTTTTAATAGCAACAAATTTTGTCACGTGTTTTTTTTTAGATCACCTTGAATTAAGCTTTGAATGCTTCGGGTTCGGCTATTACATTGTTAAACTGGAGAGCGTGAATGTCGATTAGAACTTCACTAGGTATAGTTCGTTTAATCAGGTCCGTGAAGTTGGAGTATCGACATCGACATATTCAATTTTAGGACTTACTACAATTTTGTGCTAATTTTGTGCTATTTATTGCCGTATACCCCAAATTTTGTGCTCTTATGGTTTTTGAGTTATTCAAATTTTTAGGATGGGACTCTAACTTCACGACTATACTCGATGTTGTTAAATGTGAAATTTTAATATACCTAAATTTTGTGCTCATTTTGTGCTATTTATTGCCGTATAGTAGAAATTTTGTGCTCAGATGGTTTGTTAGTTACCAAATTTTTAGGATATGGGACTCCAACTTCACGACTTTACTCAATGGTGTTGTGACGTTATTAATTTTTATTGAACAGCCTGTATGTGGGCCAGAAAACATCGGAGCTAATCGCATACCTACTTGTTTATCACAAAATGCATGCACGCAGTGCGGTCACTTTTACGCGAACTTGAGTTGTACAAGCACGGCAAATTTTGGAGGTAATTGCATTACTGGCTTTTAGCAATTGTACATATACGAACAGACGGATAGCCGTAAATCTTTTTATTAAAAACGGCACTTTTGGTTCCCTACTGTATTTGGGAGGAAAAATTAATTAGCATTGGCATTCCTAAGCTGAGGAGGATTGGGTCAGATTAATTTAATATCTGTTGGTGTACGGAGTCTCATTTAGACGTGAGTATCAGTTGTATTATTTCTTTTGTGTCAATTCAATATCAATGCAATGATATCGCATTCTCATATACGCGTGCTTTTCTTGTATAGTCCGGTTTACGGCAGATTATTAAAATCTGATTGGAAAGTGGCCTACCCCATTGGCTTACCATCGCTACGGACAACGACGTTGAGATTCGTTCTGACCACCTGGCCGTCTCGTCCAGACCTTTTGCGGCACGGCACCTAAGGGCTCCAAAACCACCTGGGAGTTCCGCCTTACCTACCGGGAACAGCACCATCTTGTTTTCCATCAGTACTACCTAGCGTGTAACGGTGAGCGTTGCGAGTGTATGGAGAATGATTGCGCTGCGTGATAGTTTGTTAGTTGTGTGATTATTTATTGTATTAATGTGTTATCGCAAATTAAGTATTTATGTTAAAAATATATCTGTGTACTTACCTACTGAAGTGTCTTCTGGCTAATTGTATATTTATTGGTCACCTCGGAGATTCGCCGTTGATGCTCCATCGTTTCACTCCCAAACGGCGTGGCGCCCATATTGTAACCATTGTAGATCTTTTGTTAAGTGTTATAACCCCCCCCCCCCCCCTGTCCACTGAGAATTAGCCGGCGCCAAAGTGCTCGTTATAGTGTTCATTTAAAAGCTTTATTATTTCTAAATTTTGTGCTCATTTTGTGCTATTTTTTGCCGTTTAGTAGAAATTATGTGCTCGTATGGTTTTTGAAATGTTGAAAGTTTTGTATGGCACTCAAACTATTTCATGTAACAAAATATTAAAGTCAAAAATTCAAATACTTACTTTATATTGTGTATTAGTGAAGTATTAGTACATTATGTTTACATTATTGAATAGAATATTTGTTATATTCATCCGAAATGTGGACACCGTTATAAGTACTTATAATAATTAAGAGTAGCATAGATTTAAAACGTGTTGAAATTTGTTCACCTTTTGGCATGATGTTGAAATATTTTAACCTTTGGGCATGAGTGCAAGAAAAACTAGAATATAATAAAATTTTCTATAATGAAAGTAATGCTGAAATCTTAAAATGTAAGTATCAGATAAGATTTGCTTTTTATTATGTCCGTTTATAAGCACTCGTAGAATACAAGTTACCAGCACTCCCTGGAGCAATCGGGCATTTTGTTGCCATTTGTAGGAGATCAGATGGGTTATGGGAAGTATACGAGGACTTGTTACTTATTAAAATGTACCAAATAAGGTCAAGCGTATTTCTACTAATGCATCTGTTAACACATTTTTACTAATTTATTCATTGTAAGTTTAAATTCGTTGTGTATTAAATAAATGACAGTTTGTTTATTTCTTATTATTTTCTATAAAGCATCGATTCATTTATATTTTAGTTAAAACATAATGTACCTCTCATTTTATAATGCCTATCTTAATATATTTAAGTATATAATATAAAACATACGATTTAAAAATTTGCACCACTTAGAGCACCTTCATTCCTTTACAGTATCTTGTCCAATCATGTTCAGTATTGAGTATAGTCCCATCATAAAAATGTGATAAAATCATACGATGACAACATTCCTGCTATATGGCAAAAAAAGCACAAAATGCAGATACAAAATAATTTTGAATTTAACGTTATCAAGTATTCCCGTTTTACAAAATTAAAAAATTTAAAAACTGAAATTGCCGTTTTGAATGCTTCAAAAGTTTAATCGTTTCATTAGCTAAATTTAACAATCTTTCATAATTGCCTCCTCGTACATAAAAGTCCTGTGTTACTTATTAAAATCGTATCAATGCTTAACATTCCATTCCAACTCTAGTATATGATAAGCTTAAATACTAAATAGACATAAATGATTCGATTACTTATGTATGTATCTCAATTAAGAAGCATCGAGCACAACATTTCTAGTATATTTCCAAATATACTTAGCGAGATACTTAGCAATTTTACGATATCAAGTACCAAGTAGGAGTATTATACCTACTAAAAATTTAAACATTTCAAAAACCATACGCGCACATAATTTCTACTAAACGGTAAAAAAATAGCACAAAATGAGCAAAAAATTTAGAAATAATAAAGCTTTTAATTTAACAACATCGAGTATAGTCGTGAAGTTGGAGTCCCATCCTAAAAATTTGGTAAGTAACTAACAAACCATCTGAGCACAAAATTTCTACTATACGGCAAAAAATAGCACAAAATTTAGGTATATTAAAATTTCAAATTTAACAACATCGAGTATAGTCGATTTGGGGTATATGGCACAAAATTAGCACAAAATTGTAGTAAGTCCTAAAATTGAATATGTCGATGTCGATACTCCAACTTCACGGACCTCGTTTAATCTAGTGATTTTTGAGGAACCTTCTTTCGGTCTCTAGCTGTAGTTCTCTTTAAATTATGTTGACCGAATCAAATACAAAACAAAAACAGAACATTTAATTAATTTATTAGACACTAAAATACATCAAACTGTTGCAAGGATCGCAAGAGATCAAACTAACAAACTAATTATTACCTTAGATGTTCTAAGATATGGCAAATTTACCGAAAAATATCTGCATATCTACATGCTAAAGAAGTATCATTAGTGTTATTTGAGCGATTACAGAATATTGATCAAATTGTAACTGTTGCAATAAACACAGTAACACGTAAAGTACACTTAACACAAACATAACAATTGTATGTTGCACAATACGAGCTTTGAGCATTAAACCCCATAATGTGAATATAAAGGTTATTTCTAATTTTCCGAGATAAGGGAGATTAAGAAAACGCGGAAATAAGCTCCCCTTACCAAGGTCAAACAATTGTTTACAAAAATTAGAAGATGCATTACATTAAATAGATAGATAAATAAGAAATAGATTATCAATAACATTTTTCCTAACTTCTGTGAAGTATTGCAGGAGATACGAGTAACTTATAAATAACATTTGCCATTATGCAGTAATGGAATACAGAAATACAAAGGAATGTTATTGAAGTAAGTACTTAGTGCCCACTAGGCCGCTACTACTATTGTGTTTTTCCTTAAAAATAAGAGACAGATTTCAGCTACTTTCTTACTATTCATTGATACAGCTCATAATACAAGGCATATCTGTAATCTATAATAATAACGTAATGGATCCACTTCTATAATTATTTAGAAAATGTTTCCAGCACGTCTAACATCTTTACCACTCGCCGAATAATGCAATATTAATAATTAATACATAACACAGGCCGAGTAGATGCTCTTATATTTTGAAAAGAATTATAAGTACTAATATTCACATCTTCTTTTAGTACCTTCTTAAAATGATTGACAATAATTTTTTGATTTTATACCCGTAAGGCACGAGACAAAATTTAGTTTTAAAATCAGACCAATTGTGAGTGCGCTAATTATTTTAAATTTAGCTACAAAATACACCATTTGTACAACACATTCAAAAATTGTCTGTCAGATAAACCATTAGGTTACCGTTTCTGTCCCCCCCCCCCCCCGTATATTAGCAAACATAGATTCTACGAATCGAACCAATTAGCATTAAATTTTGATTGCAAACAAGCACACCTAATACGCAACTACTTACCAACAAATCAAAAAAATAAACAAAAGAATTATGTTAAATGGTAAGTAAGGAGTTCAATTATAAAAACTATTACAGCTATTGTAAGTCCTATAATTAGAAAAGTAAAGGCCCCACTGAGTTGAACAAGTGTCAATCCAGTATAAAAATCGTGTTCTTTATCTCCTACCCTTAAAACATATGGCTCATCTGGGTTTTGAAAAAATTGGGGCTGCAAATGGTAATCCATTTCACCATTCAAATGACTGTAATCAGTGCTTTTATCAAGTTTACTGGCTATGCCACCTTCGTGTAAAAAAGATATCACTTTGTTCAAACTAGGAAGAAAGTAACTACCTTTTCTCATTATAAAACACATACTGTGATGGAGTCCCGGCGATTTATCCATAAAAAAATTTGGTGCTTTCCCTGTGAGATGTTGTTCTATAATTGTCGGTTGGTCCCTTGGCAAATGCCATTGTGACCTTCTTGCTACCATAAAGTGCTTTGTGTCGTTCAAGGATGTGATATAGCGACTGAAACCTACATCAGGCACCACAATGAATTTGTCTTTCATGTGCTTAAACTGTTCATTGACGCCAATATACTCGTCGTACACAGATTTCTGTGTGTAGATTGGTATGTTAGTGTTCTCCAAATCGTAAATACTCGATAGGGAGTCTTCGTATCGAGGCAACACGATGATATTTATTAAATTTGAGGTATAGGCTGTTTGGATGTGGATTATATACACCAGATAAAAAGCAATCAAAATTGTCAAACTCATGCTTGACGGTATTCTAGATATGGACACTCCCATATGCAACGATATTGCGTCAGAAAAAATGCCCAAACTACTGGTTGAAAACTTAGCCACGAAGAGAATAAACCGCCAAAGCAATATTACTACAACAAGCACCAAAATTGTAACTAACCATAGAATTCCATTAAATGGCACAAGGTACGTAATATATGGTGATCTGGGTAACGGTTTATATCCCATCCACACGTAATTCTCCATAAAAAATCCATCGCTGTCGTCAGATATTTCAAGTGCCCCTTTTACATAAACATGTATTACGATGGTCTTTTGTGAATAATATGCATTGATAAATGTTGTCAAATTCATATTGATATTTATTACCTTTGCATTTAAGGTCTCTTCTATTTGATCTAAAATGAAGGATACTGTTTTACCCCATAAAGTGAAAGGTTCTAGATCTGTATATAAACTGGCAATGATTGGACATCCTCCATAGTTTCGAATGTATTTGTCAAATGTGACCGACAGATGTGAATCGCATTGTTGGGAGTGAACCACATTTGGCATCTGACCGCAATTATTTTGGTCGTCAAAGCGATTAGCTGTAAATATCGTTATATTTTTGGCATCGATCTCATTTTCGTATTGAACCACAACCACGTTTACTAACAAATAACGCCATAGCAATGTAAAGAGTGCAGCCAAATCTTTCTCTGCAGTTATGACCAGAAAACGCCCGCGAGTGAATTTGCCACGAACCCAAATGGGACCCCTAAGCAAATTTAAAAGTGTCTTACTCAAACTATCAACGCTATTTGCCTCGATGATGTAGTCATTTTCGTATTTGGCGTAGTAACCGTGGATCGACTGGGAGGAATTTACGATGACGTAGGGATTATTTAGATTGAATGGAAAATATTCTGGATAATCATTAAAAATATACGCGAATGAAATATTTTTTGGGAAAACCTTGTTTATCACTTCGACTACACAGTCAGATACCGGCTGATGCGAGTGTAGTTTTTGATTTCCAAAGCCGTTCACTGATCTTACTATGATGCATAACAGAACAACGAAGCATTGCGTTAACATTTTAAAATAATTTGAGCATTCGCGTTAACATCACCAACACCTCAAAAACTAACCCGTGACTGACTACAATGGATCTATAAAATACATTAAAACTTTCTTAGTAAATGCGTTCCATTTGTACTAATTAGGTATATCCTTTGACTGTAATTTACGTCCAAAGGTACTCAGTAAAATTATACCTATACCATATGCACGAAATTATGAACATATTAGTTTACCTTTTATTTTTATAAATTATTCATATGACCTCATTTACACGTAGAATGTTAATAATACTAATAAAAATAATGGTTTTATTTAGTCAACCCGTTAACCAAAACAAAAAAAATTAACACAATTACAGTATAATAAATAGAGGGCAATTAAATTGGGCGATCTTCGGATACAGACGAAGATACACCTGATTCTGCTCGTCCACATTACCCACTCATAACTATATTTAACAAATTAATTAATAGTGCAATGGAATAGCAGGCAAAAATAAAAAAAAGAATTTATTTGCGATAACTGATAACTATAATTATTATGACGTACCGGGTCACCCAATAAGACTGTTCCTCGGCCATATTTCGGGAACCGTTCGTCGTATGACTTAGGGGTAAAAAATTTCTGGGTAAATCGGTCATGAAGAATCGCTGAAAAATATTTTCAAGTTCTAAAAATGACCTCCAGACAGCGTAACTGCCATCTTAAATTTTAAAATTGTATTTTCTTTAAATTTCGCATAATTAACTAAAATTTTTTTCACATTTTGAAAGAGAACCAGTTTATGTATACTTTTCTTAAAAAACTCAGTTATTTCAAAAACAAAGATGGTATGAGGCGTTCAATTGTTTTTGCAATAACCTGCTTTAACTTATTAACGGTTTGACCGATTTTAACAAATTTGGTATCGTTGAAAAGAACAACCAAAATATAGTTAATTTAATTGAATGCTTCTCCGCCAGAGGGCTAGTTTTGACACTATGACCCAAAATCCTTAAAAAAATAAAAAAAATCGAATGAAATGATATTACTTTTTCTTTATGAAAAAGTAGCCAAATAACATCCAAAGAGGCCAGTGAAAACCGTGTTTCAAAATCGCTTTCCTAACCTCAAATATTAGGAAAATGAGATTAATGGATCTTTGAAGGTCAAGTATCGCGCGGTAAATTTCTAAAACTACTAAAAATTTAGCTACAAAATGAATAAGATGTTAAAAAGGTAATTTTGAGTCTAAAAAATATAAATCATTAAAAAATATATATCATCAGAACATTCATGTTGCTCCAAGGGAACTAAACGCATCCTGAACTTATTTAGTCACTTTAATATTACAGGTATAATCGAGAGTATATTATAGTTAGTTTACTGAATTCTTTTTATGGTATGGTCTGTGCCTCTAAGAAGAACCGTTTTTTTAATAAAGCCCATGAACGGAAAAAGAAAGTCATTTAATGGCGACCCAGGTGTTGAAAATGGCCTCCGTTATTTAGGATGCACATCTGAAGACGCTGATTAGTTGAAAGAACATCAGTCTCAATTTCAGCTCTTGGGATGTGTTCAAGATGGCATTCCTAATTCTTGCAATCATATCCTCGCGGGAAGTTGGCCTTTTTTCAAAGACTATATCCTTAATCCCTCCCCAGAGATAAACATCAAAGGCAGGTTTAATCGGGGGACCTAGAAATATTCATTAAATTTTAATATGTGCGCAATATATGAACAGAATCATTCCAAAAGGCAACATCTAAAGATTCTTGTGTTAAATACTTGCCTTGGGGGTCAAAGGAATAGGAAAGGACCACTCTTCGAATGACTATAACTTTTGTTTGAAACATGATTGTAAAAAACTGTCCGACAATTTTGTTCCTCAACTCATTCGTGGAATTCCCTCCATTTCTTTACACACTTACATGTAACACCCTGTATAGTCAATCAATAAAGGTTCACTACCACTGTTAAAGTAAGAACCCGATTTTCTTTGTTTGCTAAACATTGTGGCAACCGTGACATGACGTGTATTTGTGTTTTTGCCGGACGCCTTGTGTACCAAAGTGAAAGAAAAAGGTCATTTCTATTTTTGGAAAATCTGAATGCGATGCCGTTATAGTTAATTTTAGTAGAATCATTATAAACCTTATTTACTGTTATAATAAGCTTATTACTTATATTTGAATATAAACAGTTCAGTAACCAAAATTGTTGTTGTAAACAATCAAATGCAGTTATAGCTCATCGTGTAGTTGAGTAACTCGATCGTTTTCTACAAATTTTAAACTCTTCCAAAAGTCCCTCGGAGATAGTTTCTCATTTTGTACCATTTTGACATCATCCACATCGCGAATGAATAAGTACTCGCTATTGGTCGTCACTGGATTCCAACGAATGCCAGCCACTCACAGACGGTTTTCTGAAAGTTCATCCGGTATATTGAGTAAAAATCAACACCACTCTACCCGCTTCTTGCAAATGAGTGAATAGAATCAAGTAGTAAATTCTTGATAAAGTTTTCCGAAGTGGAAAGCTTCCTTCCATGAATTTGCGGTCCAAATCCAATATAGTCGTGTATAAGAAGGGTTTCGTCTCCATGTGCTACGCCTACGGCAACAGTACATATTATAGAACTCACGCAAATTGAAATACACCTTGAAGATGTGAACCAAGCAACTTGGCAAAACCAGTGCTTTGGTTAAAAGCATACACCGCTGCATACACGGGTGATTGAGCGACTTTCGCTTGCATTTCAACAGCTGTCTCGAAGGCTACATTAAAGTACCTATCTCCAAACAGCTAAATTCCAAATGAAGTCAAAGGGGATTTTTACTTAAGGTTAGCTACCTTAATAACAGATTTGATGTTACCCTTGGAAATCTTGTCACTATGAAAGTAAAACGATTTAATCTTTTGGGCAATTGATCTCTTCTCATTCTCATTAACCACGTTGTAGTAATCGAGCAGATATTCCGACCATTCCTCCCAGTTCCTATCAGTTTCGTCCAAAATCTTTTCCAAATCTATAATAATTTTAATATAGTAGTGATGATACATACGCAGTCCTTACACAGCGTGGCCAGTAGCCCTTCGTCTTCCGCAGTCCACGTCATCCGTGCGCTTGCACCCACTTTAGAGCCAGTTGTTGATCTTTAAGCCCATTGTTTCCGGGTACTATTGCATCTTCTGTGCTAAGAAAACCTACGAGCGGACTATTTAGTGAATTTCGTTACCCTTAGGTACCTAATGCTCCCAGGCGATAATTCAGGTTAACGTATACTACGTCGCGATCCATTATGTAACCGGGGCCGGCCAATGCACTGTCCCCCATCATAAATGCGCCACCATGGATATTGACTATTACGTCATAATTATCGTTGACTGGCGGTTGTCGTTTAGGAACGTATACGTTCAGGTAGAGGCAATCTTCTTGAACTAAACATCGCGTGTGTAGCAATAGGAATTAAGGTAAGGGCAGTATACCTTTAATGCCGCTGAGTGGCATAAACTCACTTCTCACTTGCTCACACGTATACAAATGGCTGGCGTTTAAGGCCCCCGTCCAAGCAGGACATGGACGCGGAGGCTAACTTCCGGAATGCAACTTATTAGAGGAAATCTACGCTCTACCTACCTCAAACCGTAGATCTCCAACTGGTGGTACTGCATAGGGAATATCTTCAAACGCCGAGAATACACGGTTTTCAAATGAGTACTTGTAGTATCCACTAATAGGACCCAATGAAGTGGAAACCATTGGAACATTTTTAGAGTGCGATGCTGTAGTCATAAATGCTCAATGCTAACGAAAAGTAAAAAAGTTCACTTACCGAAGACACCACCATACAGTAGAATAATTCCAAAGTATAGCATTATAAGATTATACTCACAACCAGCCATGTTAATAAATCATTAATTACGTAAGCTACGATGAGTGTTTGTTTTCGTAAAAGATAAGCTCAAGCAATTGAGCTAAAAGTAGTTTTGAGTAATACTAAGGTCAATAATACTTAATTTTTTTGATAGTAATTTTTTTGCGTTTTCTAGATATTATTTTTTACCACTAGTCATTATTTTCCGTTCCAGTTTAAGAGTCTTCTGTACCCACTGCACCCAATGTAAATTTCCATAAGAGCGCCCGCCATAAAAACTATAGTTGTTTTTCAGAAAATAGTATATTAAGATACAAGTGTATAATCAAGTCTTTAAAGCACGCGCAACGAGTTTAAGGGCACGACGCAAAGCGGAGTGCCTTTAACGTTGCAAGTGCTTTAAAGACCAATTATACACGTGTATCTTATAGTATTTTTTATTATACCTGCAGTATAATTTAAAAATAGGAAATACAATGAAGTCATATTGACGTTATACTCGAATACATGTCTAATTAAGTGGGCTGGGTGTTCGTAATTTCACGATTGCCATGGAAATGTCACTTGACGTTTGCTTATAAAAATCATCGTCTTTGTGAATTAAACGATTTCCGTTGAAAAAGATAATACACCGTCCATTAAATCGATTGTTGTAAAATCTAAACAAACGTTGGTAGGTGTAAAATCCAACTCCAGTAAAGCCTATTATAAAGAATATGAAAAGTTGTTTCCATGGATGAATAGGAAGTTACTTACGAATACAGTCTTAAATGCATCCATAATTGTTGTATATTAATGGAAATTAGTAGTGGGTTGTGTGTGTGTTACTATAGTTTTTCATGTTAAATAAGAAAGAAAATAAATCTGTCATATATAAGAGGTGTATGTTTCGTGTTCTATACAATTCGAAGAAGATATATTACAGATAAGCAAGCAATATAATGCGCTGTGCTTCAAAACGTTTGCGTACTGGCATTGTAAATAATACACAATGCATCACATAAAATGTGTTGTGCTAAAAAATAAATGCACAATGCACCAAAATAATTGCAGAACGCCATTAATTTTATGCGCGATGCATTTTATTAATTGCATTTGGCACATGTATTTTTGCACTATGCTTTCAATAAATTGCATTAGACATAGTTTTTATTTATGTAGTACCTATATTAGCGTATTACACACATAAGGAGAAAAGATTGTATGTCTTATAAACTTAAAAAAAAAACAGAAAGGTACCTAGTTTAATTATGAAATGTAATATGTAAATTACGTTGGTACAAAGGAAACGTTTATGTAAACCTACATTATATTTATGTGGAATAGAAATCATAAATGTTTCAAAACTACAATATAAAAATTTGTTAGTCAAATCTGATTTCGTTATATGCTTTATTTAAATATTCTCGCATATGATGGTAGAACCTCAGAAAATCCTGTTCTTGAAGCGATTCCAAGATAGTTTCAAGTGCTTCTAGCACATTATCGCCTGTACGTGGCTTTGGTCGAAGATGACTTTATCATTGAAAAAACTTCTTCTATCGGGTTAAGTTGAGGGGAGTAAGGAGGTAAATATCTGTGCCTAACATTATTTTCCCTAAAGAAGTTAGAGACATCATTGGCATGATGGATGCGGGCATTGTCCATAATTATAATATCGTCTTCTATTTGAGGCAAAACAACAGTTTCAAGAAAAGTTTTGTAATCGTTAGAGTTAATAGCTCCAACTCTTGTAAAAAATCCAACAATTTTACTTGCACCAATTGCAAGTAAAAGTGAGATGTTGGTACCTCTATTTCCAGGAACTTCTACTGACGGCGTGATTCCTGGGGGAGTATACCCATATAAAGGCCCTAAATGTAGGTTAAATCCTGATTCATCAATAAAAATCATGTTATCATCATTCACGGCTGCCATTGCGGTGGCATACATTTTTCTAGCTTGAATATTCGCCCGCGAATTTCGTTCATGTGGAATTTTCTTTGCTCTTTTTTTCTTGTATGAATGCTGTTTTAGCACTTTTGCAACTTTATTGCGATTGCATTTCAAATGTCCTGGAAGTCTTTCTATAATCTGCTGAATGGTCAATGTACATTCTTGCACCAGTATATTCTCTATAGCGTCCCATAACTCTCCATTGTTGTTTGGTTTTCTTCCTTTCTTGTTTAGTTCAAAATTTCGCAGAGGTCCATCAACAAATTCGGACCTAGTGTGGGAAATGAATTTCTGCGCTGAACGAAGACTTTCACCAGTGGCTTCCATAATATCTTTTGCACTTCTGCCACTAGCATAAAGTTTTCTAGCAACATCAAGTTTTTCTTCAGTAAAACAAACATATCTTCGTGGCATTTTCACAATTTCACAAATAATTCATAAACTGTCATGTACCTTACATGCGCGCGCGTGTGCTGTTTTACATAAGCTACATACTAGATTTTATTATAAACGCATTTATTTGGATGCATTATGCAAAAATTATGGTGCAAGCTGCAATTAATAAAATGCATCGCGCATAAAATTAATGGCGTTCTGCAATTATTTTAGTGCATTGTGCATTTATTTTTTAGCACAAAACATTTTATGTGATGCATTGTGTATTATTTACAATGCCAGTACGCAAACGTTTTGAAACACAGCGCATTATATTGCTTGCTTATCTAATAATGCTGATGGCATATATGAAGGAAATGTCAAAGGTATTTAAATCTTCTATATTTTGGTGCATTCATTCAAAACTTTAAAGCAATGCTGCGATTAAAAAGTGGAACAGATTTGGAAGCATACCCTAAATTACGCGCGTTTGTGAAAGCTTCAACCAAAGGATAGGTACAAAAGCCAAAGAAATGTTCTGCATTTACAGAAAGCGACCTAAGAGGATTTTTTATTTCATCCAGATGACAGCAAAAGTCATACTTGAAGTATCGTTACTTAGCAACTTTAAAGCACGTGTGTTTTAAAGGCCTTTTTTCGCACGCATTTGAGTGTTTAAAACGGAGATTGTGATTCAGGTATAATAAAATCATTTTTTTAAGGACTATTTTATAAATTTACACCTTTATCTACATAATGTTCGGACTATTTCTTTAAAAAAGTTTATAGCAACTGAATACCGATTTTTTAAAAAATTAGATGTTTTGCACCGATTATTGCGCTAATCTGTTTTATTTTTTTACTCTGGATCAAGACGATTTATCGAAAAAGTAAACCCACAATTTTCTAGATAAGTTACTTCTAAACATTACCCCAAAAAATGAAATCATATTGTTTGTAAATAAAGTCTGTATCATGGCGGGCGGTAAATCAGCAATATGAGTGTAGCCAGTGGCGCCACTGCACAGTATCGGCGGTAACTAACTAAGGACCAAAACAGGAGTTGACAAAGCAAAAATATTATCTTGTCTCTCGCAACTATAATCATTTATACACTATAATGTAAAAAAGTTGCGCTTAAGTAAAGAAGACTCTTAAGTTTCCATATAATCACTTTGACTGTTACAAACACTTTTATGCCTAGAAATTACTTTTGAAATAATCCGCTAGAAAACAATCAAAAAAGTTTTACAATCTCTATCAAGAGATACCGTAAAAAAACTGTTTAGGTTTACTAATGAGAATTCTGTACACTGCCTTTTTTTGAGCCCCGAAAAAAAAATTGTCTAAGATCGACCCGGAAAAAAAATTTTCTTATAGAATGTGGCCTGTAGAATCCATAATTTCAAACTGTTCTAAAAAAATCTAAGAAGAATGAACCATAGTATTAAAAAAGATGACCGAAGGTACCTAACAGAGAAATTATAAGAGAACGTGGTTCAAAAAAAGGCAACTGGTCAGAGTAGTAGACAGTGGAAATAAGTGAAAGCTAAAAGAGGAATTTTTAGGGATTGTTATTTCGCAAACCAAAATGCCTTGATTTACATATGTCTTGTATAGATGTGCGCACTTGATGTGACCTCCAGCAAGATTTGAGGGTGGTGCATGGGAAGGTGAGATGCAATTTGTGATTTAGTGGTAGGATAGTGGAAAAATTTCAACTCATCTTAAGCCACTTGATAACCTAATCTCCTAGTGTGGCGTAGTTTTGGGTCACCATTCCTTTTTAAGTGCGTGGGATTATCAGTTGATACATAAATATAAACACAAACAACTAAACAGACGAATCCAATAGAGAAAGGTTATATTTAACCATAACCACAAAATTATCAGTACCTGCTACGTAATTGTTGGTCAAGACCATTATCTATAAATATATAAACGGGCGAAGACGAAAGGAAACGTTCCATTTAACTTTAACCATGAAAGATACAGAATTATCTGTCTAGAAGCGTGACATTGAGTCAGCTGATAAATTCTATTCAGTTATCAAAAACGCTTCCAAAATAAGACATTCGCTTTTCTTAAACATGTTATGTCTATTCTTGACGATTTTGTGCATAAAGGGTGAGTACCTACCTTCAAATTGTATTTTTCCTATGTATAACCTTTGCAAGGTTCTGTGGCTGAAAATGGACCACTTGTTAATACCTCATTAGGGCAGATTAGGGGGTTCTATACAACATCGTTTGAAGGCCGTACATTTTCAGCCTTTGAGGGTATTCCCTACGCAAAACCTCCAATTGGAGATCTACGTTTTGAGGTAGGTATTTGGTACGTGTGAAATAGTTACGCTATCGTTATATCTTTGTGAGACAGCCACCACAAAATGTACCACCTTGGAATGGCGTGTTAAACGCAAATAAACAGTACGTCTGCAAGCAAGTCGACCATCCATTTCTTGGGTACATTAATGCCAAAAGGTAGCAAAAGCAATATCCTTCAACTTTTAGCTTAGGTAAAAGCACCGAAGATTGCTTATACCTAAATGTCTACGTGCCTAAAATGCAAATTTCTACCGATGACAATTATGATGTAATAGTTAATATTCATGGTGGTGCATTTATGATGGGAGCTAGTAGAGCTTTTGCAGGACCACGCCTTTTAATGGATCGTGACATTATCTATGTGAATATGAACTACCGCCTTGGTATTCTAGGTAAAGTCACTTATCTAAAATCTAGACCGGATTATGATTGACTTCAGGGTTTTTAAGCACTGAGGATAACGTTTTACCTGGAAATAATGGACTGAAGGATCAGCAACATTCTCTTAAATGGGTTCAAGCACACATAAAGCAATTTGGTGGTAATTCCAAATCTGTTACTCTCATGGGAGCATCGGCCGGTGGGGCTTCGGTTCATTTCCATTATTTCTCTCCGCAATCTAAAGGTTGTCTTTTGCGCAAAATTTGTGAACTTTTTGAGAACGGCAGCATTTCAGGATTGTTTCATAGGGGAATATCTCAAAGTGGGAATGCCCTGATGCCGTGGGCGATTCAAGAGGGTGCATTACAGAAAGCAAGAACTCTTGCGGCGTCTTTAAATTGCGAAGAATCGGATACACGAAGTCTGGTTAAATGTCTGAAAAGTATACCCGCAGATGATCTTGTTAATCAAACGTACAGTTTTTATCATCTTGGGGAGCTACCTCTTGCGCCGTTTGCGCCAGTTGTTGAGGTAGAATCGGAGTCTGCCTTCCTAACCAAACACCCCTACTTTCAATTGAGAGACGGCGATGTGAACGACGTTCCGTGGCTGACTTGGATTGTAACAGACGAAGGAAATGTAATAGCGCTGAGTAGGGCATTAATTTAAAGTAATAAGTGGTAAAGGTGTTCATTTTTAGTGCTACACCAATTTGTAGATAAAGTTCTGAAATATTGGAAGGCATTTGCGGAATATTTATTTGATTATAAGTATGCATGTGCTGACGACCAGAAAGACAAGGTTGCTCAACAGATACAGTCGTTTTACTTTGAAAATGAACAATTTTCACAAATTAACATCAGTTCACTTATTAAGGTAGGTACATTAAATTACTACTTCAGTATGAAGTTACACTGCTTCCAGATCTTTGGTGATAGATATTTTAACGTGGGCTTTGAAACTGCGGTTCACATTCAGGCAGCAGTCACAAATTCATCCGTGTACGCCGCCATATACGGATACAAACCATCTCTTACCTTCATGAAGAACGTAGGCATCGACGACGTTGAAGGTAAATCAAATCATATTAGCTTAACTGATTTATGCCTTTATAGGTGTTGGCCATGGTGACGAAGGCTTACTCATACACGACATCCATCTTAATATATCAATCTTACCTGAAGACTTGTTCCTTTCCAAATCTGACGTTCAAATGAAAGAAGTGTTACTTGATCTTCTGTCCTCATTTGCCATGAACGGGTGAGCCCACAGCTGAGTTTGAGTCCAATCGATCACAATCAAATTGATTTTTAGCAAACCGCGATCTCGGAGAGTGGAATGGGAACCACTAACCCCGAGTAGCCCTAAATATCTGCTTATTAAGGACGTGGACAATATCAGCATGTCAGAAATATCGGAACTAAGTCCAAGAAGATTTTGGGAAGGTTTGACTCTAAGTGAAAATGAACAATTCTCCAAACAAATACATTAAAAAATAAATTGCACCTACGCCTTGTCTAAAAATATGTATATAACATGTAATACAAATGGCGTTTAAAATTTAAATTGTTGTCAAGACCTTGACCCTTTACTTCCAATTGTTTTCCATCCGTATTTAATTCTAAGATTTTTAATCAATGCCCGAAACCTTCGCTCTTATAAACTCTAAAGAAAATTGTTTGTGGTAACAAAATATGGTTCTCTTTTTGTAGTCTAAGACCGAATGCCTTCAGAAACTTCTCAGACTAACCCCTTCTTCGTATGACGTCTAACAATTGAATCAATAATTTTTTCTCCCTACAGTAGTCGCTTGCGGGCTCGCTCCTCACCATTGATTTTTTTAGGAGCCCCAAAATTGTTTGTGGGAACAAAATATGGTTCTCTTTTTGTAGTCTAAGACCGAATGCCTTCACAAACTTCTCAGACTAACCCCTTCTTCATATGACGTCTAACAATTGAATCAATAATTTTTTCTCCCTGCAGTAGTCGCTTGTGGACTCGCTCCTCACCATTGATTTTTTTAGGAGCCCCAAAATTGTTTGTGGTAACAAAATATGGTTCTCTTTTTGTAGTCTAAGACCGAATGCCTTCAGAAACTTCTCAGACTAACCCCTTCTTCATATGACGTCTAACAATTGAATCAATTATTTTTCTCCCTACAGTTGTCGCTTGCGGACTCGCTCCTCACCTTTGATTCTTTTAGGAGCCCCGAAATTGTTTGTGGTAACAAAATATGGTCTCTTTTTGTAGTCTAAAACCGAATGCCTTCACAAACTTCTCAGACTAACCCCTTCTTCATATGACGTCTAACAATAGAATCAATAATTTTTTCTCCCTACAGTAGTAGCTTGCGGACTCGCTCCTCACCATTGATTTTTTTAGGAGCCCCAAAATTGTTTGTGGTAACAAAATATGGTTCTCTTTTTGTAGTCTAAGACCGAATGCCTTCAGAAACTTCTCAGACTAACCCCTTCTTCATATGACGTCTAACAATTGAATCAATAATTTTTTCTCCCTACAGTAGTCGCTTGCGGACTCGCTCCTCACCATTGATTTTTTTAGGAGCCCCAAAATTGTTTGTGGTAACAAAATATGGTTCTCTTTTTGTAGTCTAAGACCGAATGCCTTCAGAAACTTCTCAGACTAACCCCTTCTTCATATGACGTCTAACAATTGAATCAATAATTTTTTCTCCCTACAGTAGTCGCTTGCGGACTCGCTCCTCACCATTGATTTTTTTAGGAGCCCCAAAATTGTTTGTGGTAACAAAATATGGTTCTCTTTTTGTAGTCTAAGACCGAATGCCTTCAGATTTTTTTAGGAGCCCCAAAATTGTTTGTGGTAACAAAATATGGTTCTCTTTTTGTAGTCTAAGACCGAATGCCTTCAGAAACTTCTCAGACTAACCCCTTCTTCATATGACGTCTAACAATTGAATCAATTATTTTTCTCCCTACAGTTGTCGCTTGTGGACTCGCTCCTCACCTTTGATTCTTTTAGGAGCCCCGAAATTGTTTGTGGTAACAAAATATGGCTCTCTTTTTGTAGTCTAAAACCGAATGCCTTCACAAACTTCTCAGACTAACCCCTTCTTCATATGACGTCTAACAATAGAATCAATAATTTTTTCTCCCTACAGTAGTAGCTTGCGGACTCGCTCCTCACCATTGATTTTTTTAGGAGCCCCAAAATTGTTTGTGGTAACAAAATATGGTTCTCTTTTTGTAGTCTAAGACCGAATGCCTTCAGAAACTTCTCAGACTAACCCCTTCTTCATATGACGTCTAACAATTGAATCAATAATTTTTTCTCCCTACAGTAGTCGCTTGCAGACTCGCTCCTCACCATTGATTTTTTTAGGAGCCCCAAAATTGTTTGTGGTAACAAAATATGGTTCTCTTTTTGTAGTCTAAGACCGAATGCCTTCAGAAACTTCTCAGACTAACCCCTTCTTCATATGACGTCTAACAATTGAATCAATTATTTTTCTCCCTACAGTTGTCGCTTGTGGACTCGCTCCTCACCTTTGATTCTTTTAGGAGCCCCGAAATTGTTTGTGGTAACAAAATATGGCTCTCTTTTTGTAGTCTAAAACCGAATGCCTTCACAAACTTCTCAGACTAACCCCTTCTTCATATGACGTCGAATCTCCCCTACACCGGACTTGATTTTTTTAGGAGCCCCAAAATTGTTTGTGTAAATCAAAATTGTTTGTGGTAACAAAATATGGTTCAAAATATGTCTCCTTTTTGCCTTCTAGACCGAACAGATTAACCCCTTCTTCATTTGACGTCTAACAATTGAATCAATTATTTTTCTCCCTACAGTTGTCGCTTGCGGACTCGCTCCTCACCTTTGATTCTTTTAGGAGCCCCGAAATTGTTTGTGGTAACAAAATATGACTCTCTTTTTGTAGTGTAAAACCGAATGCCTTCACAAACTTCTCAGACTAACCCCTTCTTCATATGACGTCTAACAATAGAATCAATAATTTTTTCTCCCTACAGTAGTAGCTTGCGGACTCGCTCCTCACCATTGATTTTTTTAGGAGCCCCAAAATTGTTTGTGGTAACAAAATATGGTTCTCTTTTTGTAGTCTAAGACCGAATGCCTTCAGAAACTTCTCAGACTAACCCCTTCTTCATATGACGTCTAACAATTGAATCAATTATTTTTCTCCCTACAGTTGTCGCTTGTGGACTCGCTCCTCACCTTTGATTCTTTTAGGAGCCCCGAAATTGTTTGTGGTAACAAAATATGGCTCTCTTTTTGTAGTCTAAAACCGAATGCCTTCACAAACTTCTCAGACTAACCCCTTCTTCATATGACGTCTAACAATAGAATCAATAATTTTTTCTCCCTACAGTAGTAGCTTGCGGACTCGCTCCTCACCATTGATTTTTTTAGGAGCCCCAAAATTGTTTGTGGTAACAAAATATGGTTCTCTTTTTGTAGTCTAAGACCGAATGCCTTCAGAAACTTCTCAGATTAACCCCTTCTTCATATGACGTCTAACAATTGAATCAATAATTTTTCTCCCTACAGTAGTCGCTTGCGGACTCGCTCCTCACCATTGATTTTTTTAGGAGCCCCGAAATTGTTTGTGGTAACAAAATATGGTTCTCTTTTTGTAGTCTTAAGACCGAATGCCTTCAGAAACTTCTCAGACTAACCCCTTCTTCATATGACGTCTAACAATTGAATCAATAATTTTTTCTCTCTACAGTAGTCGCTTGTGGACTCGCTCCTCACCATTGATTTTTTTAGGAGCCCCAAAATTGTTTGTGGTAACAAAATATGGTTCTCTTTTTGTAGTCTAAGACCGAATGCCTTCAGAAACTTCTCAGACTAACCCCTTCTTCATATGACGTCTAACAATTGAATCAATAATTTTTTCTCCCTACAGTAGTCGCTTGCGGACTCGCTCCTCACCATTGATTTTTTAGGAACCCCAAAATTGTTTGTGGTAACAAAATATGGTTCTCTTTTTGTAGTCTAAGACCGAATGCCTTCAGAAACTTCTTAGACTAACCCCTTCTTCATATGACGTCTAACAATTGAATCAATAATTTTTTCTCCCTACAGTAGTCGCTTGCGGGCTCGCTCCTCACCATTGATTTTTTTAGGAGCCCCAAAATTGTTTGTGGTAACAAAATATGGTTCTCTTTTTGTAGTCTTAAGACCGAATGCCTTCAGAAACTTCTCAGACTAACCCCTTCTTCATATGACGTCTAACAATTGAATCAATAATTTTTTCTCTCTACAGTAGTCGCTTGTGGACTCGCTCCTCACCATTGATTTTTTTAGGAGCCCCAAAATTGTTTGTGGTAACAAAATATGGTTCTCTTTTTGTAGTCTAAGACCGAATGCCTTCAGAAACTTCTCAGACTAACCCCTTCTTCATATGACGTCTAACAATTGAATCAATAATTTTTTCTCCCTACAGTAGTCGCTTGTGGACTCGCTCCTCACCATTGATTTTTTTAGGAGCCCCAAAATTGTTTGTGGTAACAAAATATGGTTCTCTTTTTGTAGTCTAAGACCGAATGCCTTCAGAAACTTCTCAGACTAACCCCTTCTTCATATGACGTCTAACAATTGAATCAATAATTTTTTCTCCCTACAGTAGTCGCTTGCGGACTCGCTCCTCACCATTGTTTTTTTAGGAGCCCCAAAATTGTTTGAGGTAACAAAATATGGTTCTCTTTTTGTAGTCTAAGACCGAATGCCTTCAGAAACTTCTCAGACTAACCCCTTCTTCATATGACGTCTAACAATTGAATCAATAATTTTTTCTCCCTACAGTAGTCGCTAGCGGACTCGCTCCTCACCATTGATTTTTTTAGGAGCCCTTTAAAAAAAAGCTATATTAACCTAAGCAACATTAATATTATTAAATTCTACAGCTTTAAAACAGTAATCGTAAATCAAAATTATTATACAAAATTATTATACGATTATTAAGATAATCGTCGCTATGGTATTTAAGTTATGCGATACTTAATTTTGACGGTGCAATTTGCCCTGAGAATCTCGATACCAAAATACGCATTACTCTATCTAAATCTCGATACCATCGTATGCTACGGGTGACGGGACGAGTACAACCGCCGTGTCACTTTTTTTCTTATTTCGTTATTCAATGGTTATAGGTATACGAGCACTAGATACATCCCCTAAATTTTGAAATACGACTTATGGCCTCTCAAAAGGTTGGATTTGGACCTTCCTACTGGACTAGTAGACTACCATCCAACCTATTTACAATATCCTGTCTGACTCCTATCATGCTTCAATAAAATTCCTTTTTAATAATTACAACTTTAATTAAAAATACTTTAACAAAAATAATGTGATTATATACACATAGTGTTCTCCTTGATCGAGTGCAGACGCATATTCCGTTCTAAGTAAGATTTACAGTTACATTTAGAAGGGATATGCATCCGAACTCGCCCTATAAATACCTAAAGTACTGGGACCTTATATATTATGTACAAAATATGAAAGCAGACACAATTATATACACTGATTGAATAAATAATAGAAACATTTCCGTTTTGTTTTTCTTATACAATCACACAGCTTGAAAAGATATGAGCACATCGATTATTATTTACCAAATTTTGAGGCTATCACATAAAGGGAATTTAGTAACTGTAATGCTCGCGTATCCTCCTCCTCTTCATTTCGAGGACTTTGCGTCACCCTCTTAACAATATTGGTCTCGGTCGAAACAGCAACGGCGTCGGCATCCGACGGTTCAGTATCCACCTCTTCAGCGGACAACCCGCGCCCCTCAACACCCTCGATGGACGAATTACATTCATTAATTAACAGTAAAATTAACCGACGAGTAAACGGGTTGCCCTCAACCTCGTGCATTTTCTCCAGAAATTCGTTCTGGCTTATATTCAGCTTGTTCAGGATCCTTTGGAGCCTTTCAGAGCCTTGCGAATGATTCGCGTGCATAAAATCGATAAGGATGCCATGGACTTGCGTCGAATTGAGCTGCAGTTTTGGAAGCGATCGCAAATCGTAATTTATCCGCGATCCGTTTGATTCGTCCGATATTTCCTCGGAACCGATACTGGCGTCGTCACCTTCGACGCTTGCCGAATCGAGATTGTGATTGAGATCGGCCGGATTAATCGACAACGTTTTCTGCCAAAGTTTTTCAACGTCCTTCGATGACGTCCAGTGATTGGTCGGTAGTGGGATACCAAGCGCGTTGGGTTCCTGGCTGCCCTTTGATTCTTCCGATATCTTATTCAGTTGGGAGATGAACGACTGGGAGTCGGCGCTGTGAAGGTTCTCACTTTCGGTTATGGAATTTCGAGGAGGATCTTCGGTTGTGTTAAGTGCAAGTATGTAACCCCAAGTGGCGCTTGCGGGATTTTCGGTTGTATGAAGGTAAGGGTGGTCGGGTTTCAAATCGGAATCAGAGTAATTCAGAACTTCGTCATCATCACTTTCCGTAGCCTCGTTGTGGGACGGGGGTGGTTCCGTTGGTCTTACTTCTAAAAGCACCTTCTTGAACGTTTCGGGATCTTCCAAGTACGCAGATAGCGCTTCCGTAAAGACACGGGCCAAGACGCGCACGTTTGGAACGTTATCGATCAGGTTTAGTTCGTCTTTGTTCTCATTGTTATCTACTGAAGTTGTTGTTGTCTCCATCATGTTCCTTCCAAAGAGATTGTCATAATTATTACGTGTCATCTGCGTCAAAAGATCCTTAAGAATGTCTTCCGTTGGCGTTGTTGGTGTGGTACTGGCTGGTTCGGTGGTGTTAGAGGTTAGGTTATCTAAAGCATTTGCGAAGTATATCGCGAGAGTGTGTAACGTTTGCGGGCCGGAAGATGGCGGAATCGCTAAACCTGGGCGTGATGTTGCGGATTCTTCCACGCGTTTCTTGTTGTTGTGATGCAGCATATTCATTAAGGATCCAATCATGTTGTTGATATTTTCCTCAACCTGGCTAAAGTTGGGGGAGGTTGCGAAAGGCGTGGGTTGAGTTGGTTGAATTACGTCTGGTGCAACTTCAATAATGAAAGGATTTTTCGGTGTTGCTTGGATAGGGCGAAAACTCGTGGATTGCCCCGACACTGGATTGACCGAAAATGGCATTGGTTGAAAAATTGCGAAACCACCAGGGTCAACCTTCGATTGTGTGGTTATTTCGTTGGCGGATTCTGTTGATGTGCTCAGGATTTGGGGTACTTCAGTTACATTCAAGGCCACTTTTTCTTCTGGCGTAGGTGTGAGGTTCATTTTTTGACTGTCTTTGATTTTGTTCTCAGTATCTTCACTGACCTGAAGTGATAGGGTATTAGGTTGGGGGATATTGGTGAACTGATATTTTGTTGGCGAAAGGGTTGTCGTTGAAGTCACTTCAACTTTATTTCGTAGAGGCAAATCCGCTTTAAAACTGTAACTAAATCGTCCCTCTACATTAAAACGATTAGTTTCGGTGGTGGGCGAATGAAATTTGCCCAAATTGGATGAAACTGGCACCGTTGAAAGCACGTGCGCACTAATGGAAGATCCATAAAACGGTTTATCCGGAAGTTTACTAAATGGTTTCTGATAGTAGGGGCGGGGTTTGACATCCGAATAAGACTCGCGGTGATTCGCGTATATTTTCCCACTGGTAGGTAACCGATTACGTGAATTCGTGACGAACGAAGCTGTCTCTTGAACCTCCTGTGCCTCGGCCGAGTGAGGAGGAGTAAGCGCTTCCCCATACGAGCTCACTCGCAGTTTACCCTCGAATTCGGGTCCAGTACTTTTCAAAGGTAGATCATTGTTGGGGCCAATGACAATCCCCAATTCCTTAAGCGAATGTGTATTATCTACGTCTTGGACTTGATGACTAAGCGTAGGTTTCGGCGAATACTTTTCGGTTGTGGGGTCGTTCCGATAGCTGAAGGGTTCTATGGAGTTTCGAGATATGTCATACCTAATTGCGTCAAACTTTCTATCAGCTCTTGAGGTGTGTTTCCGAGGAAGTGACTCTGTGGTAATTGATAATGAATTTTTGGGATTTTCTCCACTGCTATCATATTCCTCTCTACTAGAAAATACCGCCTGTTTTGTGCCACCATTATTTCGCCTGTTAGATTTCCTTTTAACAGTTTCCCTATGTAAAATTTCCGCGCTTTCTTCATACAATGATGGAGCTGACGTGCAGTTCACTTTATACCACCAGTCACATATCAATTCTCCTTGTTGAAATACTGTACCATTTGGACATAAAAACGACAGTTTTCTTCCTTCATCGCAAATGTGAAATACCTAAAAACGATTTTTCAGTAACACCAGAATAGGCAAAATAGGTCATCTAATAATTATTAAACTTCACTCACCTGGCAATCAGTTTCAAGGTCCGCATAATATCCAGCGTCCAAGCCACGACAACTAAATTTCGTTTTAGGTATATGGGAGTATGTGGGAAAATCAACACTCGGTATACCATCCACTGGAAAAGGTCAAATTACACACTAACAAATCAAGTGAAAGATCTACTTTGATAATCACCAGCATCGCGTCTTTCTCTGTAGTCCGTTTTGTGGAGCAATGTCGTATCGCCGGTTTTTAACCCTTTGACACCCTGTAAAATGTGACGTAATGGAAGCCATGAATCTTTTGCAACTACTCACGTCTTTTTTCATCGAAAACGCAACGAGGAATATGACAGCTAATCCTAAAACAGAGGAAACTGGTGTTAGAGTATTAAGAGAAAGCTTTAAGTTAATAATTGCAGGTCATTATTTATTTTTTTGTTATGTAATGTAAAGCAAATTTACTGTAGCATCAAAGTATTCATCGTGAAATTGGTAATTGTAGATGATAAATTTGGGAGCCGAAAAGCAAACGTTCAATGTTAATTACCGGACGCTATTAGAAAGATTATTAGTCATATTGCACAAGAAACAATAGTGTTTGTTTTTTAAGCGTTTCGCACACATTTAGCGGATGCGCAGAAAAAAGTGACACACTTCCTATTTACTTTACAACTTCGGCGCCTAGGTATTTCTCACTCACCTAATCTGTAGTTGTATTTCGCCATCACTTCTGATGCCCTGCAAGAAAAATGATCATTAAATATTCATGTATTTTAAACAAGTACATGGTACAATCACGTTTAACATTAGACCATGTCATCAACTATAACTATTATAATTAGTACCTATTGCAAGAGCAACGTTCCCATGATATCGTGATTGTGCTTGAACAAAGATAAAATTATAACAGTATTTAGTAGTTTGAATATCAGAAGAAATTTCTTTAGCGGCATTTGGAAAGCTTTCTAAGTTTCTGCCGAAGAAGCTTACCCCAAAATATTAAAATATTAATTCCTAGTTTGTAATAATTAGTACGTTGGGTACGCCAAAAAAAACTGCACTTTTTGATTGGAATATGCCACTTTCTGTGGTAATAATTAATACCAAAAGGCAACTTTTGAGATAGGGAGCCACTCGAAAATCCGTGCAGGAAACCAAAATGGTGGCCGTCAAAATGGCGTCATTAGCCGCAATATATTTTTTTGTATATCTGCTCCTAACAGTCCGATTTTAATTTTCTTTGTTTTTGTTGAAAGCTCTTGTGACGAGGAAACTTTTTTGCTATGTAACATTTATCTCTAGAACTTAAGAATTTAGCACAATTTTAAAAAAGTGTTTTCTTTGCGAATTTGAATCACAAGTACCTAAGCTTAACCCGATTTTTATGTGTAACTTGTCCACGTCAAATGTTAATATGTAAGGGTTTGTATTATTCAGCACAATTTTCTGACTCTTAAGGTCTGATGATGAATCGGTCTATACGATTCGAAGTCGATTAGCTAAAGAAATATTAAAATTCAATTATTTGAAAAACGAGTTTTATTGTATCAATTTGTATCGACAAATAATTCACTACCTCAAGAAAATAGTGGTTGCTATTTAAAAACAGTATGCTCCTTTGACCGTGCAGAAGTATGCTACTGACCCCAAATTGAATGTACGTGGATTGGTAGCAAACTTTTTATAATTACGGATGTCATAAAAAGCTTCTTTAAAAAATGTTTTGAAGATAAAATTTTCACCCTCTATAAAAAGCTTATCCGGAAAACAGTTAGCCTCGCGGTTAGCATTACGAAAAAAAACCGATAAGACCTACAAAAAGAATTCTTTTGTTAAGGCTGCCCTCGAGATCACCCTATATACCTAAAAATACGTTTTAGGCTTCCCCTCAGGCTTCTCGTACCAACAAACCGTTACCATTAATCTCAACCATTGAGGCTCTATCGTCCGCTTACAGAAGGTGGATTCCCTGTATAATAAAAATGATTCAATTTATATGAATAGGTATCTAAAACTTGGAAGTCATAATATTCCCTTAATATTCTTAAAGAAAACCCTCGAAAAAACCCTCGAAAAAACCCATGATCTGATAAATAAGCTTAAACCAACTAGTTAAATAAAATAGGATAAGTAAGAGCGAGAGTAAGAGTTAACGTTGATATACTGAGTGTTTCTTTAATTACCTACTTTAAAAGCAGAGTGTATTTTCTGTTTTTCAGAGAAAAAAATTGACGAGGCTTTTCCTTTCAATTTTCATAATGCTTGATCTCGTGTCTGATGAAACAAATATTGCGCATTTTTTTAAAAAAAACATGGCGGATTGAAATTTTCCGAACTTGAAGGGTAGATACAAGGAGTTTTGGGGTTGAATCTATTGAATTTCTAAACGATGGCCTTTTTGGTCGAAAAGACCGGGAATTAAGAGCTTACTTGTGATTCAAATTGTGCTAAATCTTTAAGTTTTAGAGATAAATATTATATAGCAAAAAAGTTTCCTCGTCACAAGAGCTTTCAATAAAAAAAAAAATTAAAATCGGACTATTAGGAGCAGAGATACAAAAAAATATATTGCGGCTAATGGCGCCATTTTGACGGCCACCATTTTGGTTTTCTGCACGGATTTTCGAGTGGCTCCCTATCTCAAAAGTTGTCTTTTGGTATTAACTATTACGACAGAACGGGGTATATTTCAATCAAAAAGTGCAGTATTTTCCCCATTCTAGCCATGTACCCGACGTACTAAATTGGCAGAAATAATTATCAATCTCTTCGTCCATTTCAGAAACTTGATCAAGGGTTTCTGGCAGGTAAAGCACGGCAATACCGGATTTCAAGATTTCAAAATACCGAGTTTCTACGCGCTTAATTCTGCAGACAGAACGAATAAACTGAATCATTTTTGTTCAATATTTACTGCCTAGTTGAAAACAGTGATAATAGACGATATATTTGATATTTTATGTTATATTTTCACCATTGGTTTTCTTGGGGATCTTGCAATTCTACACCTTTCCATCTCGGGCTTCCAGAATATCTTTTCAAGCCTCAACGTTGCGGAAATACCAAAGTCGAGCCACGGATTTGAACCACCCTCTACACATAAATAGCTTTCGGGAAGTACTGATCAAATCCTGAAAAATACGCTTACGGCGAAATTCATTTTCTTTTATTTATTAACAACACTCATCGAAGAGAGCGTATTATTGAAAATAAGTATGCGACATAAGTATACAGGGTGATTCCTATAGTACCTGCCACCGTTTGGGAGCGTGTAGGTGGTGCGTAGGGGAGTATTTTGATATAGGACACTTGGGGTCGGAAATCAAAAATAAGGGTGCCAGAGCCAAATTTACCTTCTGGAATTTCGCGCCTGTAGGTAGGGCAACCCAACCGGCCGGCGGTGCACACGGAGCGATCTCAGGCGGCGATGTGTGGCTGACACTTGATCAGAATTTTGTTTAAACCCACGAAATCCCGTCTGCAACGACGCGTATCAAGTGAATAAACACTATGGCAATAGTATAATAATAGTTGGCTAGATGTAGGAAGTGCATTGAGAACAACGGTGGCCACGTTGAACACTTGTAAACGTTATTGCTTTTGACTGTCGTTTTCCCTCCTTCCCTCCATGTCGCTTCCTCGCGCTAACTCGCTCTGCATCGCTCCGCGCGAAACGTCGGTCGGTTGGGTTGCCTACATACAGGCGTGAAATTCCAGAAGTTAAATTTGGTTCTGGCGCCCTTATTTTAGATTTCCGACCCCAAGTGTCCTATATCAAAATACTCCCCTAGGCACCCCCTATACGCTCCCAAACGGTGGCAGGTACTATAGGAATCACCCTGTATATTTTCGGAAAGCTCGTAAAACGAGCAATTTTTTAAAACCATGGTTAACTATAATGGCCATTTAGGAAAAATGAGCTTTGAGTTACAGCATAGTTTCTAAAAGGGCTGGAAACAAACAACTGAGGGCATTAAGTTCTATGTTAAATGTGTGAATATTCCTAAAGGGGTTTTGTTCTAGCTTCAAAAATGAAGGTGTTACAGCAAATTGAAGAAATTGGCAGTTTTTCTCTCTAGGCAAAAAACGGAAGCTTATTTCTGGAAGCTGTAACGGAATAAGCATGAAAAAAGGGGTCGCCAATAAAAAAATAAAAAAGTTACCCGTTTAAACCCATCGAAATTGGACCGCACTGTACAGACAATTATCGAGAACTCACAGTCTGTTACAGAAACACATTTTTATGTTAGTGTTAAAATGTATTGCGCATATTTAGGGGAATATGGATTTATTCAGGGGCGGACTGGCCCGGGGGGGCGGGTGGCAATTGCCACCTGGCCTGTACGTCATAATGGCCCGTTGGAAATATATAAGTATGTGCTGTATTTAGTTTCTTGCACTATTAATAAGTTATTAACACGTTTCTCTAATTGGAGTTGATGTTAGGTTGTTAAAAAATTAAAAAATTCTGTTTTAATTGAAGTGTTTTACAATGAATTTATCATTTTTTGTCGTAGCATGAAAGTGATGAAATACAATGATATGCGACTTTTAATTATCAGCTGCAATTTAAAAAAACCTGTATTGTAATTGATTTCCGAAAAAGGAGTACTTTAAAATGAAGCAAAAAATGTTTTTGTGGTGCACCGCAGAGCTACCCCCCGCCACCTTCATTACTACACTAATACTTTAATGGCCCGTAACCTATGCAATTCCACATGGCCCGCCCCTGACTAGAAACCAATTTCGAAAGAAAATTCAAAGGGCTGTAACTTTTGAACTAGTGGCCCAATCTTGGAACTGTTTGAAATTATGGATTCTACAGGCCACATTCTATAAGAAAATTTTTTTCCGGGTCGATCTGAGACAATTTTTTTTTTTCGGGCCTCAAAAAAAGGCAGTGTATAACCTTCCTTTTTTACCAAAAATCAACTGCACCAAAATTTCTCGGGAAAACACTTTTTCTTATTAATTTTGGTGCGTAGAATCTAAAACAATTCGTACTTTTTCGATCGGACTTCTCAATCAAAAGTTATGGACTAGAAACCAATTTCGTAAGAAAATTCAAAGGGCTGTTACTTTTGAACTAGTAGCCCAATTTTGGAACTGTTTGAAATTATGGATTCTACAGGCCACATTCTATAAGAAAATTTTTTTTCCGGGTCGATCTGAGACAATTTTTTTTTCGGGGCTCAAAAAAAGGCACCTTCCTTTTTTACCAAAAATCGACTGCACCAAAATTTCTCGGGAAAACACTTTTTCTTATTAATTTTGGTGCGTAGAATCCAAAACAAATCGTACTTTTTCGATCGGACGTCTCAATTAAAAGTTTTAATTATCAGCTGCAATTTAAAAAATAAATTAATGTAATTGATTTCCGAAATTGGAGTACTAAAATGAAGCAAAAAAATGTTTTTGTGGTGCACCGCAGAGCCTCCCCCCCCCCTCGCCACCTTATTACTACACTAATACTTTAATGGCCCGTAACCTATGCAATTCCACCTGGCCCGTAAGTACCCAGTCCGCCCCTGGATTTATTTGCAACTAACCCATTGTATCATTATTGGAAAACAAGGGTAGGGAAACATGTTATAATTTTCCTTTGATAAGGAGTTAGGGAGGTTTTTTTGGTGCATGAAGCCCAAGGATGCGCCTCTTATTCCGAGTTTATGGCGCATTTTTACTTTTTCTATGTTAGATTCGACTAATCAAAATGATTGAAGGTTATTTTCTTAAAA